AGGCCCGAGTTCGAGACTGCCAGTGAACTATGATCACACCCACCATTACTCTAGCCTGGGCAACAGAATAAAACCTGGCTCCAATATATACATACATATATATATGTATATAAACACATATATACAATATTATATGTGTGTCGGTGATATATATATTAGTTGTATGCCGGGTGCAGTGGCTCCATGCCTGTAATCCCAGCACTTTGGAGCCGAGCAAGATGGATTCACTTGAGGCTAGAGTTCGAGATCAGCCCTGGACAACATGATGAAACTCTGTCTCTACTAAAAAATACAAAAATTAGCTGGGCCGTGGTGGCGCACACCTACAATCCAGCTACTTGGGAGGCTGAGGCAGGAAGAATCACTTGAACCTGGGAGGCGGAGGTTGCAGTGAGCCGAGATTGCACCACTGCACTCCAGCCTGGCGACAGAGCGAGACTCTGTCTCAAAATAAATGTAAATAAATAAATAAAATAAATAAATAAATAAAAGGAATAAAAGAAATATAATACCAGTTTACTAGATATTGAAGGAGGAAGGAAAAGAGTTTGTGCTAACTCATTTGACCTTGAATTGAATCCTTACCTTATGTTTTCTCCAAGGGAAGACGTATTCTGAAGAACACCGAGACAAACTGTGATAAGAGCTCATCAGCCCAGGATTTGGGTGAGGTAGATTCTGGCTTCCATTGTGATGTTAACTGGAATACACAACGTTATCTCATCTGCAATCCACCTTTTTAACTTCTCCAAAGGTGACTCTCTGTCGAGAACTGGGCCAAACCTCATAGGTAGCCCTGGCTGCCATTTTTTGGAGCCATGCCAGTTCTTGACATCTGGAATTCCCAGGCAGTTGTTGCTCTTTCTCAGAAAATACGACTATCATTCAAAGAAAGCTATTTTTGGGAAACTTTAAAAAGGCTTAAACTATTAATTCCACTTAAAATTCTTTAATCACAGGCAACTTTAAATATAATTACAGTAGTCTCCAGTTTTGAACCGAAGTGGGCATGCATATATGTCATTTCATAATATCTCATTACTGGCCATGTGCAATAGCCATGTCTATAATCCATCCATCTGTTGGGGAAGGCTGACAGGTAGGAGATCACTGAGCTAGGAGGTTCTAAGACGGCCCAGCCCTGAGTAAACATAACAAACCTCGTCTCTACTAAAACATAACAAATTAGCCCAGCGCATGAGGCGTTGTACTTGTAGTCCCAAGCTAATCAGGAGGCGCAGACGGAGAAGATGATTGAGGCTGGAGATCGAGGCTGCGGCAGTTGAGGCTATGATCGCATCACTGCATTCTACCCTAAGGCAACAGAGGCAAGCCCTGTCTCAAAAAATTAAAATATAAAGTAAAAACAAATGAACAGGCCGGCGCGGTGGCTCCAAGCCTGTAATCCCAGCAGCTTTGGAGGCCGAGACGGGTGGATCACGAGGTCAGGAGATCGAGACCATCCTGGCTAACACGGATGAACCCCGTCTCTACTAAAAATACAAAAAATTAGCTGGGCGTGGTGGCGAGCGCCTGTAGTCCCAGCTACTTGGGAGGCTGAGGCTAGGAGAATGGCCGTAAACCCGGGAGGCGGAGCTTGCAGTGGAGCTGAGATCCGGCCCACTGCAACTCAGCCTGGGTGACAGAGTGAGACTCCGTCTCAAAAAAAAAAAAAACAAATGAACAAAAATTCACTACCTCAATGGAAGCAACAGTATAAATCAACATTAGTTCAGCTCAGTAAAAATATCTTGAATGCCTACTGTGTCCCAATCACTATGCAGACTCCAGAGGTACCGAGCTGTTTTCCTAAGCAGCTGATAATTTTGCAGAGAGAAGCTTCCTAGGCCAAAGCATAAAACCCTATTCAACCCATAGACAACTCTGGTACCTCTAACCATCACCTTGTAACACCTTTTACTAAGGAAAAAACATGTTCTTAGTTAAACTCTGGATATCAGGCTGGTCTCGAACTCCTGGGCTCAAGCGATCCTCTCTCTCTCTCAACTCTTGGAGTGAATTAGGGAAGGTCTACAGAATACTTCCAGAAAGCAGAAACTGCCTTAAGGAAATACTGTCCCAATACTTTAAATTCTAAGTTATGTGTTTTTTTTAACCACAATATTACTGAGCAAGATAAAAAAGGGTCACCGTACAATACAAGCATTATGGTCAAGTTGTGTTCGGCAGTGTTAAGAGGTATTGCCCGAAGGCTCCATGACCACAGAAGTTTGGGAAAGAGTAAGTTTTAACAAGTTTCTTCACTGAGAAGCTTATTAAATACTTCAATATATTATTATGCCTTTTATATCTCAAAAAGACAAAAACCATAATGCAAGCATACTTAATACCACTGAACTGTACACTTAGAAACATAGTCATGGGCCAGGTGCAGTGACTCACGCCTGTAATACCAACACTTTGGGAGGCTGAGGTGGGCAGATCACTTGAGGCTAGAAGTTCGAGACCAGTCTGGACAACATGGTGAAACCCCATCTCTACTAAAAATACAAAAATTAGCCGGGCATGGTGGCACGTGCCTATAGTCCCAGCTACTTGGGAGGCTGAGGCAGGAGAATTGCTTGAACCTTGGAGACAGAGGTTGCAGTGAGCCAAGATCGCACAACTGCACTCCAGCCTGGGTGACAGAGCAAGACCCTGTCTCAAAAAAAAAAAAAAAGAAAAAAAAAAAGAAACAGTTGTTTTGCTTAATGATGAGGATACATTTGGAGAAATGTATTGTTAGGCTGTTTCGTCATTGTGTTAACATCAGAGAGTGTACTCACACAAACCCAGACACTATAGCTTGCTACCCACCTAGGCTACATGGTAGAGCCTATTTCTCCTAGGCTACAAACCTGTACAACAGGTTACGGTACTGAAGACTATAGGGAACTGTAACACAATGGTAAATTTTTATATATCTAACATATCTAAGCATAGAAAATATAAATATATGATATTATAATCTTACAGGAACACCATGATGTATGAGGCCCACTACTGACCAAAATGTCACTATGCAGCACATGACTAAAATTAAGATGGTAAATTCTAAGTTATGTGTTTTTTTTAACCACAATTTTTTGTTTTAATGAAAACAAGAGGAAGCAGTTTCTAAGATTCTTTGACTACAGAACTATGTTGTGCGCAGTGTTTCTCTTGGGAATAAGAGTACAATGACTGACCACCTTGATATTCTCAGCGCTAAGGGCATTCCTGGGATGTAGGACTTGTAGTGATAAAACCAGAGCGTTCTAGGCAAATACAGACAGTTGGCTACTCTACCTAAAGAAGTCCTGAGCACAGTTTGGAAATGTTTCTGTGTGTCAATAAATTTGGGGGCGATTAGAATAGAAAAACAAAGGTGGTTAGACAGGGCATGGTGGCTCATGCCTGTACTCCCACCACTTTGGGAGGCTGAGGTCAGAAGACTACTTGAGGCCAGGAGTTTGAGACCAGCCTGGGCAACATAGAGAGACACCATCTCTACAAAAATGTTAAAACTGGGCAAGGTAACACACGCCTGTAGTCCCAGCTACTCAGGAGGCCAAGGCAAGAGGATCACTTGAGCCCAGGAGTTTGAGGCTGCAGGGCACTGAGGGCAGATGAAGGCTGGAATCCGCTACACCCATCCTTGCCACCTCCATCTCCACCGCCCGTTTAGATGTATGGGCTGGGCTTTAGCTAGGCATCCATAAGTTAGAGTTGCTACTGGTGGATCTGGAATTGGCCTGTTTTGTAATACTGATGAGTCTACACCAGAAGGAAATTCATACTTTTCCTCCAGATAAATTGAGACTTAAGAAATCTTTTGACCTACCCAGAGTTCTGAAAGAAGACTGCTAGAGCCAAAACTTAATGTTAAGTCACAAGAATCCCAGTGCACTCTGCCAATTTTCTTAGTTCACTTATATCTACTATGATAATAGCTAGAAGAAAGCAAAAGAGCGAATTGGGTAATAACTGTCTCAGCCAGCTAAAAGATGACCTCTCCATCCCTGCTTAACTTTAGGAAGTGTTCCACTGTAAAAGAGCAACTTGACAGGCTGAGCCTGGCGGTGACAGCATACAGGATGGGCGCAGCCCCCACATGGGTGCATTTTGTGTCATCGTGTCTGGAATATCAAGTTTGAGCACGTATGCAGCAAGGATGCCCTTCAACTAAAAGTTGCGTCCTCAAATTGGGGCTTCCGAACTCAGCGTGGCGATGTTATGAATCAGGTCAAAAGTGCTTTTCCTTAGAGCCAAGTTGAGAGTTGAGAGGCCTCTGCCATCTGCATCTGTGCTTATGAGCAACACGTGTGGTCTTGGAGGGGGCTGCAGCCAGCACACACGCCAGCATTTACATTCAGAACCCAGGACAAAGCCTTTCACACTTGCATGACAAGTGCTTTCTGAAATGAATACACCTGCATACTTCCTTCTTAGGCTCGCAGTAATGAATGAGTTCATATATGGATGGATGATCTTGTGGCTGGCTACAAAGAATCGACTAAAACCCGGGGAAATGCAGATAGATTAAAAAGGAGTGACACACGGGTCCTTCCTATGCTCTCTGTTTGTCCAACAAATTGGAAGTCCTCTAGTGGCTGTCGGAGTCTCAGCAGCCCAGAGGAAAGTGCGAAAAATCTCCCCAAATGAGTAATTAGGTCGCCGGACCCAGTGGTTCAGGCCTATAATCCCAGCACTTTGGAAGGCTGGAGTGGGCAGATCACTTGAAGTCAGGAGTTCAAGACCAGCCTGGCCAACATGGTGAAACCCCATCTCTACTAAAAACACAAAAATTAGCCGGGCATGGTGGTGGGCGCCTGTAATCCCAGCTACTTGGGAGGCTGAGGCAGGAGAATGGCTTCAACCCGGGAAGTAGAGGTTGTAGTGAGTGGACATTGCACCACTGCACTCCAGCCTGGGTGACAGAGTGAAATGAAAGAGAAGCAAGGAAGGCAGGAAGGCAGGGAAGGAGAGAGAAAGGAGAGACGGGAAGGTAAGGGAAGGGAAGGGAAGGGAGAAAGAAAGGAAGAAAGAGAAGGAGAGGAGGGGAGGGGAGGGGAGAGAAGGAAGGAAGGAAGGAAGGAAGGAAGGAAGGAAGGAAGGAAGGAAGGAGAGAGTAATTCGATCAGCTGCGCTGGCCCCTGCCAGTTCACTTTTTCAAAAGTCAACCTCCTCAAGTCACCGTCTTTGTTTCTCAAAGGCTTCACACACAGAAGGTGCTGTGACTACAGCGGATGCTCTGGAATCTGCTGGAGATCTGCAGTCTCCATTGGTCCTAGTGAGGGGAGACCTTTGACTTCATCCTTGTGGGGCTTTTTCCCTAAGAGAAGAAGGTTTTGTCCCACTTGATGAATTTGGGGGAAATGTATATTAGAGACTGTGTACAGCAAGGTCAATAGTAACAACACAGACCCTAGTATAAGCATTCCATCATCTGCTTATTATAACTTCTCCAGGCTGTGAGAAATTAGCATCAAGGCCAACAATGGGTGCTCACTACTCTGAATGAATGGTACTTGACATTTACTAGGAGAATTGGCAAAGCAGCCATTCGCCAAAAGGACACAAACACACATAGAACGAAAATAATTCTCATTTTATTTTCATTCAGATGAGTAAGTCAAACTGTTTTCATAGCTGTTTGTCCAAGTAATCTTCCTCCCAGGAGGTGCTTACA